TTTAAGTGTTTTCTATGAGTAATAACCTCACTGTGAACACTTCTACAGAAATCACCCGAGCTTGCGGTGCTGGCACTCCGGAGGCAAAACTCCCACTGAAGCAGAGGCAGAATTTCCTCCCAAGTCTCCACTACGACTCTTTTGCTATTGAAGTTATGCAAACACAGCACATCGACTGCACCCAAAGGGGAACATGCATATATTCCGTGTCTCTCTTGAGCACTGAGATCACTACAAGCACTGCACATAAACAGCCTTCACACTGATCAAAGCGAACTTAGCTTATTAAAGGAGGATCCTATGCAGAAAGCTGATCTCCTCTGCAGGAGTATAAATTCAGTAGCATATAATATAGATTAAGCTGTTAGAAAAACACTGAGAGAACAAAGCGCCTTTTTGCTTCCAGTCAAAACCTTCTCAACATCACTCTTTGGAAGCTTTTTATCTCCTGTTTGGTTCCTGCCTGAAACCTAGTGGTACATACCAGCCCAGCCCAGCCCGGATCAAACAGAACCCATCTCCTCCTGGCATGCAGCCCACAGCCTCATGTCAAAGCTGCCAGCAGCACTGCGTAACACAGGAGAGAAGGCGCTCTCACATCTGGATGGCAAGAATCAGTGCAGTTTGCACACAGATGATCTCCCATGCTGCAGTTGCTGGGAGCTGATGTGCTGGCAGACATATGGCTGAAGCTGGGAGCGTGCCCACGTGCATGGGGCTCACTCCTGCAGCCACATCCCACTGCACAGCATGCACATCACCAAGCAGTGCTACTGAGCTGGCCAACACCCAGCGTGGGGAAAGCCTGCTGCCCAGATACGGTGCTCCCAGGCCGTGTCCTTCGGTAAAGCTGTGAATGTATCTTCAGTTAATCTGCGTAGAAATGATGTAAAGAAAAGCAGAGCTCTCGTGGGAGATCAAAAATTGCCACCAGATGACTTGTTTTAGCAGCATGGTGGGAAAATGGACTGTCTGTGTTTTGTCAAACGTTTGCTCCTCTGATCTTATCCTCTCCCACACATTTTATTTCTCTGTCACAACTCAGAGAATGACACCTTTGGAAAACTTGCAACATGCTTGAGACAACCCTCTCATACTGGTACACTGCTCACTGCATGGCTCCTGTGAGGAGAGGAGGTCCAAGAGAGGCCCAACTCTATGTTGTCAGGCTGGATATTAGATAGAATTTCTTCTCCAAAAGAGCAGTGCTGCAGTGGCACAGCTGCCCAGGGAGTGTTGGGGTGACTGTAGCTGGAGGTACTCCAGAACCGTGGGGATGTGGCACTGAGGGATGTGGTCATGGGCATGGTGAGGGCAGGTTGGGGTTAGACATGGAGATCTTAGTGATCTTTTCCAACCTGAATGTTTCTATGATTCATCCAAAGAAATAAGCCACTCCAGGCAGCCGGTCCGGCTTCCCACGCAGAAGGCAGAGCATTTGCTATGCTGCAGCACCACAAGATTACGGCTCTCATTCATGTGCATTCTGCTCAACTCTACACCACCCAATAAGTTTTGGGGGAAAGCTAAAATGAGGCAAAGGAGAGGTGCAGAGATACCTCCACCAGACCACAGAGTGCACATCCACATCCCCAGGGCATGGGCTGAGCTCCATCCCATGGCACTGCTGTGGTTGCGCAGGTCACGCGTTCGTTGGCAGCTCACTGTGGGCTCCTCATCCCATCCCATAATAGTCAGTAACATCCCAAGTGTGGAGAGAATGGGAGGAAGGAGGTTTCACTGAAGGCCTTAGCCAAGAACGCCAGTATCCATTCACTGCCAAAGGTCCTCTGGCTGATCTCCTTGAGCTCCAACCTGGATCCTTCTCTTGGGTTTCAACACTTTAGCTATGAATTTGTAGTTTGAACGCAGTGTTTTACTACTGTTGCCCCAAGGTTCAAACTGCATGTAATTTCATGACTAGGAATGGTTTAAATTACTGCACTTAGGCCTGATCCTCTCTCTAACCAAATCTTAAAACTTTCCTTCATTGTTTTGCACGCCATTTATCTCACCAGCCAATTTAATGCTGTTGCTAAATTCATCTACTGAAAACAGTGACTTTGTTGGTTATTTTGCCAAACTTCCACCCGTTGATTTATAACCAGTAACATACATCAAGGCCCATTCAAAGCTGAAGCTGATACAATCTGCTCTGCGGCTTTGCAAAGAAGAGTGGGCATAAAAAAAAATCAGGGTTCCTGTGGTGCTGCTCTGTAGGGCTGTGTGTGCTTTCAAGGGATTCCTACTGAGGACTTTTGTCTCACCAAAAGCTCCTCTACACAGCGCATCATAGAATCCTAGGATGGCCTGGGTTAAAAAGGATCACAATGATCACCTATTTTCAACCCACTGCTATGTGCAGGGTCACCAACCAGCAGACCAGGCTGCCCAGAGCCACATCCAGCCTGGCCTTGAATGCTTCCAGGGTTGGACATCCACAACCCTTGGGCAACCTGTTCCAGTGCATCTGTGAACACAATGCAATGCCAGAATGCCAGCCAGGAATGACACTGGGAACAGAGCACAGGAAGGGGAATAGATAAGCACCAACTGAAAGCTGTACTTCATCCTTCTTCATCCACTGAAGGACTGAGGCGTCCCTGGGCTCCCTGCCACAGCTGGGTGCTACAGATCAGGACTACAGCCCCACTTGTAACAAGAGCAGCACTGACTGCCCCCCAGCAGCTGGTGCAAAGGAAGGACACAGGTACCCCAGGGCACCTGGAGGAGACTGGAGTGAAGCACGGGACAGATCCCATTGCTCTTTCCATCCCATCCCTTTCACAGACGCAAGGAGAGAAGTTACACCCACCCCCCGACTGACATCACTCCAGGTTTGCACACCAAAGAGAGAAATAAATGTTCTCCTTCTGCTAAACCAGTATAACTAGGGAACCAGGAACAGAAAGAGCACGACATGAGCTGCACTGCACCTGCAGGACCACGCTTTGGGAGCTGCCTCTCTGCCTTGCAGCATCACAGTGTTCCTGCCTGGAGATGCATCTCCTCTAATGCACAAATTACAGCTCCATGCAGGCTGACCTTTTCCATGACGTTAAAGGTTCTCCTCACAGAGATGTTTTCATTTAGCAGTATTTCATCCACAGACTGCAAATGGCTTCTTATTCCAGACAGTTCCTCCTCCTGAGGGAGTGCTCTGGATGCCCAAAGTGCTGAAATCCACCACATAGCAATAAAGCTTCATGGTACCCACTCTTTCCTGGAAGGAAGATGAGTGCCCTGGTGCACACAGTGCTAGTTTTGCACCCCACACTTTGCTTTCATTCATGCTTATCCTCACAGTTTCCTATGGACTCAGCTACAACCAGATCTTGGACACCAATCCCATCCACTTATAAACCGTGAAGGGAGAGGAACCACCTTGCTCCAGGAACCACCTGGAGCAACCTGAGGAGCACGCTCCTCATCCCTCATTGCTAAGGGTGTCTGAAGTGCTAACCAAGACAGTCCTTTAAGCTCACACCACCTCCGTTCCCATTCTCCAAATGCTGCAGTATCCTATGGCTCTTCCAGGAATGAGGAAGTGCTGGGATTTATCCCTTTGCTGCTGAAGTGTCAAAAGCAGGAAACTCTGCCAAGAGCAGGAATCAGAGCCACCTGCCCTATCCTCCTCCAGTGCTTGGCTACAAACGCAGTGAGCAGAGCAGCAGCTCTGGGGATTTGCCTTTCTGAAAGAGAATGAGAGAGAATTGGCAGAGGTGGTGCAGGCAGTGAAACCCTGGAGAGGCTCAAAAAGAGTGGCTGCTGAACCCTGCCATTCCTATAGGCTGCTGTCAGGGTTTCATTTATTCTCATCTGCAATCCCACCCATCCCTCTAGGCTCTGACAGAGGGCACACGGCACAGGCATTGTGCCACCATTTGCTTGTAGGACACCAAAGCTCTTGAGGTTCTAAACAAGAGGTTCCACCAGTTATTATGAAGCATTTATCTGAATGTATTGTTGATGAAAGAGTGAAAGCAAACCCCACAGGAGCCTGTAAAGACATAGGAAACAATTGCATTGGCACAAGGAAACCAGACTGGATTGCCAATGTGACTTTTTTTTGGCCTTAGGAATTGGGAAATATACAGGAAAACTCTATTTTTTTAAGAAAATTTTAAAACTCTCCATCTATTTAGCTCATGCACAATTCAATATTCACTCAACTCCTGCTGCACTTTCTGCATGTCCCATTTCCTAACCTTCCATCAAAGTCAAGGTCAAGTGTGATTGCACGCTAGAGTGAGCAATGAGCAATGCTGAAACACATCCAACAGAGCTCAGGGAAGCTTTGAACTACCCCAGCATCCCCCCGGGGCACTGCAGCCAACATTTGCACAGCTGTGCACACAACGAAGACAACCTGCTGCAGCATCCCACATGGAGGGATGAAACGCATCCAATACACGTGGCTTCCATCCCAGATGTTGGGGCACAGTTCCTGAGATGCTCACAGCAATGCCAGCTCCCTTCAATCTCACACCCTTTGTTTACCAGTTTCGCAATGCCTGCAGCCAACCAGGATGAGCTCCGTTACCTGTCTGCTCATTGCCCTGCACTGATGAATCCTCATCGATCCGTGCTCCCTCCACACAAGTACCACCCAACTAACCCAAGGTGACAGAAGCATCGGTTCCTGCGATCCCCACACCTCTGGAGCACGTTCAGATGGGCACAGCGATGGCAGGCAGCAAGCGGGGCCGAAGGCAGGATGGCACAGCACAACCCGTGGGAAGGAGCACCCGAAGAGGGCATTGTGCTCCCGCCCCGCCCTCCCCCATCTCCTGCCCGGCTCAGCCGCGCCCTGCCCGGCCCTTCTGCCTCACCCAGAGCTCCCCATCCCCTGCTCATCCCTTTCCTCCTCCTTCTCTCCCGCTCTGAGCATCCCCTGCCCATCTCCGCCCCTTTCGCCGCCGTTCCCTCGGGCTGGGAGCTGCCCAAGGTACCGCCGCACCGCGCCGTACCGAACCGGAGCTCCCCTCCTTGCCACTCACCAACACGAAAGAGCTTCGCACCGCCTCCGAAACGCTCTGCCGCAGCTCGGCGGCCGTGCCCGGCTTGCTGAGCCGCTTGGTGAACTTCCTCACTTCCGACATGGCGACATGGTCCGAGCGGATCCGAGCCGAGCGGGGCCGCGCCGCGGGCTGCTGCCTCCCAGCGCCGGGCGGGGCCGGGCCGGGCGGAGCCGCTGAGCGGCGGGCGGGGACGAGGAGGGACCGAGCTCAGCCCCCGCCCCGGTCCGGCCCCGCTTTGTCCCTTCAGCAGGTGTTAGGCGCTTCCCGGCCGCAGAGAGCCGAGCTTACAGGCGCTTCCGTACCGTTAGGGCTCATGCTCCACACGCAGCCCTCTCCAAAGCGGGTTCCTGCTGCCTTCCTGTTAGGCTAAGCATCCAGCAGGACGAGATCCCGCTACTGAGCATCTCCAGCCTATGGGATTTGCAGTAGGAAAGTGCTTTGATCACAGCGCGTACGATCCCAGCTCGCTACCTGGTTGCTCGGCCAGAAGTCAGGAAAGGAAAGGAGTTAATGCCTGCTCCTGCGCCCAGTAGCTTTGTGCGCAGTGCCGAGGATGGCGATTTGAAGGCAGAGAGAGCCTTTGATTTTATTCTACATTTTGGCAGATATTTTATACCTTAGTGCCTTACCTCTAAATTGCTTCACTTTATAGCGCACATAGATACTGCATTGGATAGAGCTGCCCTATTGTCATACAGAGGGTGGAGAAGCACTGGAACAGGTTGCCCAAGGAGGTTGTGGATGCCCCCAGCGCTGGAGGCATTCAAGGCCAGACTGAATGTGGCTGTGGGCAACCGGGCCATAGCAGAGGGTTGGAACTGGATGGTCATCATGGTCCTTTTCAACCCAGGCCATTCTATGATTCCATGAAAGTCACACCCTCTGGAATCTGCAAGCTTATTTACAAGCACTGCACTGGAATTGCCAGCACACTGCTGGTCACACAACATGTAGAGGAATTGTTTAGATTGTAAGAGCCAACATGTAGGGGAGTAATGAATACAGCTACTATGATCCAAACCATGGAAACTGTTATTTGTGACTCCTAAAGCATGCAAGCCAGTTATTGTTCTGCTTTTTACCAGTTCATGGAAGGGGCAGCAGACACCATTTCATATTAAACATCACTCTTATCTTCTACAACGGAGGCAAAACAAATCCAAAAGTTTATACTTGATTATGAAATATCTAGATGGGGGAGAGAAAAGGAGGAAGTTTAATCACTCGAGCATTAACATTTTCACTAATATCCTTCCTTAAGGCTTTTCAAAATCTGTCTAAATTAGTTCTAAGGAAGCAGAAAGCTTTGTGACAAACAATTCCAGCTACAGCGCACTGAGGTTCACTTCCTTATCTCTACACCCATAGGAATTCTTGCAGAGATTTCACCAGTCTCTACATGGCTGCTGGCCCCAGAACAGGGCAGCCCTGCTCATCCTGCCTGCAGGAAGGAGCTTGGACAGCCTGGGCCCTGTAGAAGAGCAAGAGCCAGTGCAACAGCAGTGATGGGAGACTTACACTCATGGCAGTATCATTTTCTGCCTTTGGTCTGCTAGATCAGAGAAAGCTCTGAGAACAGCACCATGATGGAGCATTTGACAGGAAATAAAATGATCCCTGGAGTACCCACCCCTTGTTTATGCAGTCAGAAGCAAGAAGTTCCCAGTGAGGTTACGAGCTCAGTGCAGTGCCAGCAAGGGGCTGCGCCCAGTCACCATCCCACTCAGCTGAGCCAAGGAAGAGCCAGCAAACTGAGGCTGTTTTGTGGAGCTAAGCACGGAAACAAAAGGAAAATAGAAGCAGTGAGGACACATGACATGAAAACAACATGCAGAAAGCTCTATCTCAGGAAGGCTGAACATCAGAATAAAAGTCTCAGGCACAACAAGCACTAAGGCAGCTAGCAGCAGCCACAGCATTACTACAAGAGGATGCAGAAGGCTGCAAGGCTTGTGGCTGTAGTCTCTTTTTGCATGGGGAAAAAAGGTCAGGGATAGTTTACCAGCATTACAACGACATGTGAGAACACAGCAAGCTTCTGGAGGTGCTGTGGAACTGCTCAAGGCATCACCTCAGAGAGAACAACTTTCTTGATCTCAGCCATAAGAAACTCACAGCATCAACAGAGCTTGGAGACCTCAAGAGGTGAAAATGTTCTGTTCCCAGGAAAGGACAGAAAGCATAGGCTCTCTTACAAAAAGCAGCCATCACTGAAATCACCTCTATTTTCATTTTTCAAAACATGGTTTAGTAAAATAATAGGTTTTTTTTCAGCGCATTTCTTGCGAAGACCCAAACTGCTGCCTTCTGCCATGTAAGAAACTGCAGCCTCCCCTTTGCCTTCTGCAGGCTCTCCAGTTGAAGGGCTGCAGCTGATGGACTGCTGCCCTTTTCCCAGGTCTGTGCACGTACAGGAACCACAGTGAACATGTTTCTCTGAAGGAACAATCTGCTGCAAGCTCAGGCTGACTTCAGGACAGCACAGACTACAGGAAAACAAGTTTTGCACATACACTGTATTGAGACCAACAGCAAAACCTTACCTACTTATTGGTAGCACTGTAACATAGAGGATGAGCTAAAGCAACCAATTTTTTGCCTAACTCACCAGTTTGCAGCTGACGCTGATATAAAAGCTGGAACATACGGGGCTCCTGGGCCACCACTGAGAACCCCTCAGACAAGCTGTAGGGCTAGAGGCAGGCTCAGGGCTTCATTTCTCACAAGCCATCCAAGGTAAAAGACAGGTAATATCATTAGAAAATAATCTTATTTTGCACTGCCTTCACTGGTTGTCTGTGTGCCTATTTATCACCTTCAAACGGGCCTATCCCAGAAAAAACACTTAACTAAGTGATTAACTGTAAGTAGGTGATTAATCCCATTGCTTCACTTCATTGCACAGAGGCCTGCGTTCCTGCACTGAGCCAGCATGATTCGGTAACCCAGACCCAGGCAGGACTTTTTGCTGGGAGGAACAGTTATGAATAACATTACATCCTCACTTCACGATTTCTGGGAGCACGTTGCAGCTGTATGGCAACACATCGATGCTACCTTTGGGCTCAGAGCTCCTTGCTGTTAAAGGGCTGCCCTCTGCTGACTTACTCAGGATTGCACGGCCACAGCTCCTCAAGGACAGGAGAAACAAATCCCATATGCTGCTTCAGGATTTCTCTACCCCCCCAAACAATGAAGGGGAAAGCAGGCAAAATTCACTACTTTTATGTGCTCCATATACGTAGCATTACATTCTGATCTGATTTCCACATAGAAGCCAGAATTGCCATTGAAGCACACACAGGAAAAGGACCATTTTCTAATCATGTGAACTGAAAAGCTACCTTAGCATTCCAGTAGCAAGCCACTGCTATTAGGAAAACACTAGGAAAGCAGAATTAATAGCTGTAGCCATTAGCATAAGGAATCCTGAAGCACAGCTCCAGTACCACATTACTAAGAACCAGCCAACAGCCTTCCAGTTTGTTCCCACATTCACAGAATGAATCAAAACCAACGTGCCTGTATGAAAATCTCAAACAATCTATAATTATCTATAATTAGAGGGGGAAAAAAAGATACATATAGAAGATGGACATTGCCAAAATACAAATTAATTTGAGTTGGAAGGGACCTTTAAAGGCAATCCATCCCAACTCCCCTGCAATGAACAGGACCTACAGCTTGACCTGATTGCTCAGAGCCCCATCCAGCCCTGCCTCCAGCAACAGGGCATCCACCACCAGCTCTGGGCAACCTGGTCCAGAGCATAACTACACTCAGCGTAACAAACTTTCCCCTTGTAGCCAATCTAAGTTTTGCCCGTTTCAGTTTGAGACCATTTCCCCATGTCCTGTCCCAACAGAACCTGCTACAGTCTGTTCCCTTCTTTCTCAGAGCTGCTTCAGATATGCTGTTTCTGTTCTCTGCACATGCACAAGCTTGCAGAGACAAATTGTCTCATGGATTCAGAGACAAAGCTAGTAGAGAAACAACTGTTTCCAGTCATAGCTGCTTGCTGCCAGAATAAACTGTGACAGGAACCAGCTGACCAGGAATTAGGTCTGGAAGGGAAGCCTTTGTATCATCTTTGACACTACAGACAGCTCAGTTCATGGATTCCTGTGTTAATTCATACATATCCTCACTTCTATCTCCTGAAAATTCTCAGTTGCATTTTGTAAGTGGATTCTGGATTACATGGATGTCAACAGCTTTTGTTAAAGCACAAAAGGATAAGCAGCCCCTTGGAAAAAGAAATTACAGCCTTCTGCACGTACAACCTATTACCAAAACTCACTTCTGGAATTACAGATTAAATGTTTTTGTGCCATCTTCCCACCTCTGTCAGTCAATAGAGCTCCAAGAACAAAACCAAAATCAAGAGCTTGCTTCTGCCTCACGCATACAGGAATTTTCAGATCCGTGAGCCATACTTACTGCAAGTGTGTCAACTGTGACTTTTCTAAAGCACACAGCATTTTTTGTATTTATTTTGTTGGACAATATACCCCTTGCAATTCCCTTTCACGTTCAAGCCAATACATCAACACCTGAGAAGAAAATTAAGACGGTGGGACCAATTCCCTGACTTCCCATATCTTCATTCTCCCACTAATGGCAACAACAGGAATCTTTACATGCTTCTGAAACCTCCTCCTTACATCAGATTACTTTACAACTGCACTCCATTCTGCTCCACAGTCAGTCCCAGTACTCCATTCCCCATGACACAGCTGTTAAGAAAGTGACAGGATGGGACAAAACAGAACTGAAAAGAAAAACGAGCACACAAGACCAATGATCTCACAAAGCAGCCAACGCTATTTAGACAAATGGCAAATTTAGGAATCAAAATGGGAAAGAAGCAACACTTTCCAAGTGTGTGACCAAGTTTAATGACATTTCTTCCTCTGAAACACTTGACCATCAATAACATTTCATGGGTCAGGGTGCCCAGAATGTTACTTCATAGGTGTTTTATATGAATATTTACAAAGACTTCCAAAATTCAGCGGCACTAAACAAACAAACAAGAACTTAAAACTTTAAGCTACAATGCTTAAAAAAATGTAAACAGTTTATTTTACGGAGTTGTAAAATATAAG